GTGTAGCATTAACATAGAAGCTTTTGCTTATCAGTTAATATTATTACATCTCTAGCAGGAAGTGTAGCTGTGCTGCTGTAGTGTAGATGTAGCCTAACCCCCATTGTGCAGCCATTGCCATACTATGACCGGTTCCAGATACAAAGTTTTACTTGGTCTCAATATGGACTAAGAGTTGGAAAATTCTTTTATGTAGTGACATGTAGCATTAACATAGAAGCTTTTGCTTATCAGTTAATATTATTACATCTCTAGCAGGAAGTGTAGCTGTGCTGCTGTAGTGTAGATGTAGCCTAACCCCCATTGTGCAGCCATTGCCATACTATGACCGGTTCCAGATACAAAGTTTTACTTGGTCTCAATATGGACTAAGAGTTGGAAAATTCTTTTATGTAGTGACATGTGTTTAGTTTAATTTAATTTAATTTAATTTCTAGGTGATGGAATATGAGAACAGAATCCGAGCTTACTCCACTCCAGACAAAATCTTCAGATACTTTGCCACCTTGAAAGTAATAAATGAGCATGGAGAATCAGAAGTGTTTATGACACCACAAGATTTTGTGAGATCTATTACTCCCAATGAAAAACAACCAGAACGTAAGTAATATATACAGTAATTACATTTGGGGGTGATTTATGTAATGAAGAGTTCAGAATGAAGTTTTCATTGACTGTTTAGTCACCTTTTACATCTCATTACACAAATAGGTTGGCAGGGGACCGTCCTGTCTTTGTATGTGTTTATATTCCCTAACACAGTAGGCCCTGCTGCTGCTATGATACAGTTCCTCTAAATGCATGTACTTCTGATGTATAATCGTATACATAGAAGTAATAGAGTACAACAGAAATAGTTTCATTCAGCAGGTAATATATTGACCTTTTCATCAGAAGACTATATAAATTTCACACCAACACTTGGGTTTGTATGCACTGCACACTTTGCTTTGCAGTACTACAGGATAATTAGGAATGAGAATTTCTTTTTTTCTTTTTTTAATATTTCAGCAGATGTCAGTGCTTGTTTTTAAGCATTTTTTTCTATTTTTAACTATTTAATTTGTCACAATTGCAGAAAATTGAGGGTTATGTCAGGCAATTTAATGACAGTAGATTTTGAGATTCAAAATGTAAAACTTTATACTGTCAAAGCACAAATTATCAACATTGCATGTCAAAATATACAAAATAAATATATGTAAACTCTAGGTTTCAAGAGTTTTTTTTCTTATTTTGCCTTTATATAAATTGTGATTACCGATGGAAATGTTTTTTATTTAAATGTGCATAGTGAAATCGATGTTTACTTATTTTTACTGATAACATTTTAATCTGCCCAGCCCTGAGGATAATGCTGATGTTACAATAAATGACAGTTTTCACAGGAAACAGTATTTACAGTGTCTATATAGTTTCCTTTTGCCTGTTTCTTGTAGCTGTTCAGTTAAGTTAGATGTAGTATCACTGCTGAGGTAGGTTTAGGAGAAACTGTGACTTTGCACTCCATATTCTTCATGGAAATATGCTTATGAATATGACATAATTGGAATATGCTTTATGCAAAATACTTCATATAAAATATCATTAGGAAAGTTTATAATCTGCTGAGTGTGTATATTCTATTCTTACACATGTATTCTGTATACATTTTAGAAATTTAAAGCAAGGTCAGGGTTTGGTTGTCCCTGGAATTCAATTGTTTCTCATAAAATGGAAAGGGAGGAGTGTATGACAGTAGGAACTGTATACTTTGGAATGACCAAAGGGGGCAGCAAGTGCCCCAGCCAGAAGCCACCAGTTGACATGTTGCTCCGCTTCTTGCCTCTGCGGTGAGTGTGGGTGTGGGGATGACCCCTGCTGCTGGGACCTGCCTTTTACCAGGACAGGCAGTGTGCAAAATACCATACCCCTTCCCCTCCAGACTCTGTGTTCAGAGCTACACGTGGCCCTTGCAGCCGGTGCAGGGGCATAGAAGGAAGGGATTCTGGTTGAGGAACCTGCTGGGCTTCTGTCCAGGAACTGCACAGGAAAGCGCCCCCTGGCCAAAGCCAGCCTCTGACACCCTAGCCCCTGCCCTTCCAACCTTCTGCCCCCTCATTCATCCCTACCCCCTCCCAAACACTGCACCCCAAACCCTTGCACTTGCTCCTGCACTCCTGCCCCAAATCACAACTCCCTCCCAGACCCTGCCTCCCCTCCTGTACCTCAGCCTCCTGCCCCAGGTCACAATCTCTTTATGTATCCCAGTCCTTTACCCCAAGCTCCTTTCTGAAACCAACCTCCATCACAGACCCCATATCTCCTCTATTAATATAGTGGAAGAACCACTTACCAAATTCTTGGAGTGGCCCCCCATCAAAAAATATTGCCTACGTCTGAGCTAGAAAAAGCTGAGCCTTTAGTAGGAGAGTGCCTGCCATGAGTTACGTGGAGGTAGCCCTCTAATTCCTGCACTGGAACCAATGAAGTGTCTGGTATACTGTGTGAGAACATAGGTGGTAGGCAGGCAGTAGCCCTTTCCTGTGTCTGAGTTTAATAATTTGTGGCCTGCTGCTTAAAATCAATTTGTCTGTCTTCATTTAACTGCTTAGTCTGCATCAACAGGGATTGATGTGCATTTGTTCTTTTTACCTTTAGAGGATAGAAGTACTGATGTTCCTGTGATTGCCTTAAAGTTAGTTTTTCTGTCTTTATGTATCACCTGCTGAGTAATAAAAAGATGGGCTACAGAGGGAAATTATATTTTTATTTACTCCTGAAATTGAATATAGTTGGCTGTGCTGAAGACAATGAAACTGTATAGATCCTGATGTGGAATTATGGAGAGTGAGTTGTTATCTGATAAAAATGAAAGGCACAATGATTATTTCCACTTCCTTCAGCAGCAAGTCTGCCATGATCTTGGTAATGTTGCAGGTTTTTTTAAGGACTTGCTAACTCATAGGAATATTTAAAGGTGACCTGCAAATGATTTTTTTTTTTGCTCATACCCTTATTTGTTGCTTGAAGGAAAGCTCTGTAAATTTTGACGAGTATCAGAGGAGGGGTAGCGTATTAGTATTGGAGACATCTGATTAAGTGATTCTTAGCCTACAAAAGCTTATGCACAAATAAAACTGTTAGCCTTTAAGGGGCCATTGCACTTGTCATTGTATATGTAAATGTTATTGTTATGAAATTATCTTCTTTACTAAGTTTTACCTTTTTAAAAATACTAATAATTTCAAGTTTGTTCTTCCCTGGTTTTGGTGAGAGGGCTTCTCAAGGAAGAGGGAGGTGGATGTATAGTGTCAAAAATTGAAGATGACTAATTCTAATGAAGTTGCTTGCATCCAAAATTTAAATAAGTAATTGAAGCTGAATATTTGTCAATGAAAAGAAACAAAACATTCTTCTAAGCATCCCTTCTTTCTCTCATTTGTCCAGCTTTCTCTTAGTTCCTGTGTTGTTACCATTTCACTAGGTCTCAATTAACCTTCCAGTCTATACAAACCCTCAATTTCTATTGTAAACATTTTAATTGAGGCAGTGGCAACTAGGGCATGTCTTCACTAACCACCAGATGGATGGGCAGCAGTCACTCCATTGGGAGTCGGTTTATCATGTCTAGTATAGCTGCGATAAATCAGCTGCCAAATGTTTCCTGTCAACTCCAGTATGCTACCAGGATGAGAAGAGTAAAGGGAGTCAACAGGAAAGCATCAGCTGCGGACTTACTGCAGTGAAGATCTGCAGTACGTAGCTCTAAGTACATCAAATTCAGTTACATTAGTCATGTGGCTGAAGTTGGCGTAACTTAGATCAGTGGCTCACAGTAGTGTAAATGAGACCCGTTGATGCACTATTTACAGGTTATGGTGGTATGCAGTAGTATTCAAGGCAAGTACTCATAAGACAAAGGAGTTTCAGTTTCTAGCGATACTTTTGATGTCATACTTCATTTTTTTATGATATTATATAGTAGCAGATGGTGACTGCTATAAAAGAGGGCTACATATGAAGAAAACGGATTGTGAGTTTTGTATTTGTTAAAAATCTTAAGAAAGAACATTGTCCTAATATACGGCTAGAAAAAGCTGCTCAGATAAGTGACTCACACCCAAAGCCTCTGCCCACTCTGTACCCTGTCTCCCAGAGAGATGTAAAATCTAGTTTAATCAGTTAACCGGATAAACATTATGTTTAACCAGTTAATTGCTTAAACGGGCAGGCGGGAAGAGTGTGGCCAGGCCAGAATGGCCCCTTTAATGCAAGCAAGGGGATGCTTCAGCCCCTGCAGGTTAACTATAACTGGTAAACATTACCTAATTAGGGTGATGCTTACTAGTTAACCATTCACATCCCTAATCTGCCACCCAGACTCTGCACCCTCATTTCCTGCCCTGAGCCCAGGTCTGCTGACAGCAATTCTGAGCCCCAGGGCAGAACAGTCAGTAAGCCTCTGCTGGTGCCCAGTGAGCTGCGCAGCTGGGCATGCTGTCCTGGCACTGCCAGGGCTGCTCTGAAAAAATGAAGCAACTGCCAAAATACTAGTATGCTTAAGGACTTTTGCAGTTCATAAAACTGTCACTTTTGCATGCATATTATCTGCACGCATAGCTCAGCTTTAAAACACCAAACAAATCTGTGTTTCAGCTAGAAATAGTCATGCTTTCATGGCAAATATCAGAATACTTTTTGATACTGGAAAGGAAAGGAGAGTAGAAGGCATTCCCTCAGGGTTACACAGTTTCTCTGGAATGTCAGCTCTTCATCTGATTAATACTTAATATACATGGAACAGAAAAAATAGGTAATAAAGCAAGTTACAGTGCTGTAAAGTACTACTGTGAGCCAGGCAATAGCACTGAGAGCTGTGCTCTCACACCTGTTAGCTATACCCCTTCCAGAGGTGGTTTACATAGAGTGCTGGGAGAGCTCTCTCCCAGTGCTTGTGCCATGGCCGCATTTACAGTTTAAAGCACTGCTGCAGCCTTGCTTTAAAGTTACTGTTAAGTTCATTTTTTTAATTGTATCCTTTGGTATATATGGTTGTGACTACTTTCTTCCACTATTTGATCTGAGGAAGTGGGTCTGGCCCACGAAAGCTCATCATCTAATAAACCATCTTGTTAGTCTTTAAAGTGCTACATTGTCCTGCATTTTGTTAAGTGTAGACATAGCTCCAGTTCATTTTGTGTGCATGTGTGAGATCCACAGAGCTCTCCTTATCTAAACTCTTTTTTTCTTTAAACAATTAACACCTTCTATGTCAACCTTGTCTGAAATGTAGCCATGCAAATGTCATTAGCTAGGCCTATCCACTAGGGAAGTAAAATCCTATTAAATAAGTTAACTGGTTAATCTGGCAGGGGCTTGTGGCCCGGCTGGAGTGCCCCTACCCATGGCACACCAGTGGCTGCTCTGGCTGGGATGGAGTACCCCCCCCTCTGCGGCGGGGCCCCAACCGGCTGGAACAGCCCCTCTGCTTGTGGCCCAGCTATCCACACACTTTTACTTGAGTATTCAATTCACTAAAGCTCCATCCTGCAAATATCTATGCATGGGAGCCCTCCACACGCATAACGGTTTATTGGATCAGTATCGAAGCCAGAGTGAATAGCATTAAAGCAGCTTCTTAAATGGCACCAATCAAAATAAATTCACAGATTTATTTCTTTTACCTGTACTTGCTTTGATTATTGTGCTCTATCCATAAGGTCACTTCCATGCAGCCACACCCCCCCCCTCCCCATATGGCAGCAACTCACCAGATAACTTGGCACCACATCTCTGCCGCCTTCCCCCTCGTCCTGTGCAGTCTTCCCTTCCCCATCCCACTTAGCCCCCATGCTTTCTGAGCAGGTTCAATCGTACACAAAATCTGGAGCTTATTTTATTTGACAGTCTCTTCAGTTTCTTCTTTAGAACCAACAAGCTCACAGTGGTCTGGGAGACACGTTAGCACAGTCCACAGGTTATTTACAGGATAGTGAAATAAAAGCTCATCCACCGACATGGCACAAGGTTAGGTAATCAACATAGCCCACGGCAGATTATTCAGAAGCATTAATTGTGGTTTCTGTGTGCCTCACACCTTGAAAAGGAACAGATTACTTTAAGGAAGGATAACTTCTGAAGCTGCACACTGTAAATTCATGTGTACATCTGGGTTTCTTGACATGCACACAAATATTAGGGGGATGACTGCTCAGTTTGATACCCGCAGATCCAAAAAAGGCATCTGACAGTTCTCTAATTTTTCATTCAGTCTTTTAAATTAAGGACAGGGATTTTTACTGCATTGTCTCAGATAGGTCGAAGAGATCACAATGAAGTGATGAACAGCTCCATTTTCTGCTCTATGACCATTATGGATCTTTGAGTAGAAGGAGAGCATTTTATCAATTTTACTCCTAAAAGGTAACAGGAATCTATTCTTCACCTTACTGGACAAGTTACTTTTTCTTTCTTTTCAACCCCAGCTCTCTTTTCTCAGTCAGGTTAACAGGAGGATCTGTTCATTTATAAAAATACTGGCTGAAAACATGTGTTTTATAGTAAATTTTGGTCAAACCAGGAACTCAAAATCTCTACACTCTTGTGTGAATTACTGCCAATAATCTCAATCCAGTTATTCGAGAGTTCAATTTAAAGAATGTATTGTTTTTATTATTGCTGTACAAATCATTTGCTAGCCTTCCTATATTAACTATTAAGCTTTCATTGGTGTGCATAAGCTTGGTTAGGCTGTAGAAGTAGATTGAAATATGCCTTCTTCCTCAGCAGTATAAATATTATTTTCCTTCTAAGAATAAAATCCTTCTGTTCTGGGGTGATATGATGTGCAGACTATGTTAATATAAAAACCTTTTGGTTAATGCACTTTTTAATTCTGAATGTGCCTTCCATGTTTTTCCTTTTTATTTCTGAATTCATTCATATGTCACTTTACCCCCACAAGAACTGGCAAAATTGATTTTTGGTTGAAGTATACCTTTGTTAATTCTGGGAGGAACAGAAAATTTTATTTAACCTGAAAATAATTCTTTTTTTAATTACACTCTGTGCCAGGCTCAAATAAACATGCTTGATATCTGGGTAAGGATTAGTAATGGGGTAGAAATCATTTCAGTTTAGAACATTAGGGAAAAAGGACTAGTAGAGACTAGTGGTGGATGTGGTGCTATCACTGTCTGTTTTGTGTGTTTTCTGTAGTTAAATAGGTTTTCCATGTTCATGCTGTGAAGTGGACACTTTTCTTGAACCTCAAGAAAAAACATGTAGAAAAACAATTGATTTCCTTTCCTCCTCTCTCTCTTTCTAGTCATGTTACCTTCAAATAACCTGTTATTTTCTTTTAAATGCCTTATCAAAAAAGAAGCACTGCTCTAAAAGCATTTTAAATCTGTTTTTCCTCTTTCAGATCTAGGTCTGGATCAGTTTGTAGTGAAGCGGTATGATGGAAAGGTGAGTAGACTTGACATATATGGTGTCTTTATATCTATAACCTCTCTGATTTTCTATTTAAAACTGAAATGAAATAAAAAACTGTCTTTGTTTAAGCTAGCACATAGTTGTATTTTTATCATATAGCTGAATAGGATGGAATGAACAAAAACTTGTAATGCTTATAAAATCAAAATAACTCCTCCCTGCTGGTGGGAAAGGGAGTTGTAATATGCAAAAGTCAAAGTTAGTTGAATTATCCACATAGAGGGTTTCATACAACCATATGAGGAAGTATCATCATATTTCAGAGAGAAACCTGCTAGATGATGATCATATTATAACATGATTTGGTCTGCTTATATGGATGGAACAACACTGTAACCTAGCTATTTTACAGCTCTGAAGCCATGTTCTTCCCTGTTGTAAATCTCCCTGAAATAAATGAAACTATATCAAGAAGGAATTTGGCCCAGAGCTGTAATACAAGTAGGTAACATGGTTGAAAGACTGCATGAACCTTTAACACAGATGGGGCCAAGCTATGTTAGATAAGACCAATACTTAACATAGATTTATTTAGGTATATAGTTGTTGATCTAAATTAACTTTTGAGCACTCTACGCTATCTTAGTTGATAGCTGCATAAAAATGGGAGAGTATTCAAGCTTCCCCTTGACAGCTTATTCTACAAAAGTCTCATTTTGCAAAATTTTGTCACTTCATGTGCAACAAAATGCCTTAAAAATCTCTTTAGCTGAGAAGGTAATGTTTGACCCTTACATTGCTGAATGATGTACCTGGCATGCAGCAGCGGATTTAGGGCGGGGTGGCTGCCCCGGGCCCCGCGCTTCCCGAGGCCCCGTGCATGCGCCGTGGCGCCACAGCCCATGCGCCTTGTCAAAGGGAGGGCCCTGCAATATTTTGCTGCCGAGGCCCCGCGGCACTCTCATCCGCCCCTACTGGCATGTAATGTTTCAGTGTGATCAGATATGTCGAAAAAGTCCTGTAATTTGATTCTATAATTAAATAAAATCCTGCACAATTTAGATTTAAATGAATCTTAATTATTTGCCTGTTTTGCCTTCAATTAAATTGATTTTTATTTAAATTTCAGTGAGGAGGTAGAGGGACAGAAAGCAGAGCAAGTAATCAGATAAATGGTTTTTGTCACTTATTGCATATGAGAGTTTCTGTTTACCCCACAGAGCATTATTCTACTTTGAAATAGGCAATCAGTAACTATTTCCTTTTGGTTTTGGTGACTCTTAGTTAAAACTGAAATGTTAAGCACTTGTTTGTCCCATTCTTTGTGTTTTCATTATTTAAAAAAAATGGAATATCTATTCTGTGCCAAACTTCAATTATTTCTTCCTTTGTTTACTGATAATCAACTTTACAACAAACCACTATCATGGCTGTATTTTGTCAAGTTATCAAATAGAACAGAGGTTCTCAAACTTGATTGCACCGCAACCCTTCTTCTGATAACAAAAATTACTACATGACCCCAGGACGGAGGACTGAAGCTTGAGCCTACCAGAGCCCTGCTGCCCCAGATTTGGGGGCAAATCCAAAGCTCAAGGTCTTCAGCCTCAGATAGAGGCCTGTAACATGACTCTTGTTTTCCAGAGCTAAACTGGTCCAGAACTGTGGCTTTGGCCCTCGGCAGTGGGCTCAGGCTTCATGCTTCAGCAAGTCTAATACAGCCCTAGCCACTCTATTTAAAATGGGGTTTTGACCCACAGTTTAAGAACTGCTGAGATAGAATGTATATTAAACAAAAATTTCTTAAAGAAATTCTGACTTGGACACGATTTTGTATAGCTTTTCCTCAGTTCCTGAGTACTGTACATTACACTCCCATAATATTGGGTAAAAGTCTCAAAGCAGACATTGCTGAACTCAGCCTTTTGTTCTGCTGAGCTTCATTGCTGGATAGAATTTTAGTGAGCTATAATGTTATAGTTATAGCAGCAGTATTTGAAATTAGAACTGACAAATGAAGGATTTCCAGTTTGTGGGAAATTTTGTGATTTTTGAAATTTGGGTTTGTTGAAATATAAACAAATACATTCTATTCAATATTCTCCATCCTCTTCCCTGCTGTGGCTCTGCATTGTAAAGCCCAGAGAAGTCGGTGCGCGAAGTCACTAGCTTGGCCCCTGCTCTGTGGCTGTGCCTAAGGTTTGTTTGAACCACAGATGTTTCATAGAAACATCTTGGGTTCATGAAATTGATATTTCCCAACAAACTTAAATCAGGAAATTTCAGACCAGCTTTATGATGATCTATTATGGCTTCTCTCTCTCTTGCACGATATACACACTCAGGCTTCCATCCAGCATGGTGAATGTGTAACAAGTGGTGGTCTTAGTGCAGGCTGAAATGTTCTGAGTTAGGCTGGCCCTTAGCATCTGTTCCCTGTGATGACTATCCTCCATTCTGGTGTTCTGTTGTAGACTGAAATTGGGTATATAAATTAGGGATGTAAGAGATTAACTGGTTACCTGGTAAGCAGTAGTCTTATCGGACTGCTTATCCATTAACCAATTTACTGGCCCTGTTAGAACAGCCTTCCTCCCATGACTGGGGTGGGCCTGGGCAGAGAAGCCCCCCATGGCTGCAGCAGGTCCAGACAACTGGACCCCTGCTGCAGCCACAGTGGGCTGGAACAGCCCCCCACCTGTAGTGCAGCAGGCCCAGCTGGCTAGATCCCCTCTGTGGCTGGGCTGGAGCAGCCCCTCCTCCCACAGTGCAGTGGTTAACAGGTTAAGCTATATTTTTATAGTGCAACAGGGTGACTATTTTAATGGGGTTTTTACATCCCTAATATAAGTACATATTTTATATATGCAAAATACATTGGATGATAGAAAAAGTCTTAACATCAGTCATCAGAGTTTTAAAATGGAGATTGTAGTGAACTACTAGTGATAGTACTGTGTAGAGCTACAGACCATATACATTTTATAGTATTATATTGCAGGGGCAGCATTTTTTTAAAGAAGGAAATTATGGCTTGTGTTTGTCAGACTTCTCTAACTATCGAGCACTAGTAACAGACTTTAGTTATGAGGATAGTGGTGCTGGCAAGGTGTCAAATTTGGGGTGAGGTTAAAGCAGGGAGATCTTCGAGGTCCCTCAGTCATGCAGAGGAGTCTGGACAAGGAGTGAAGTCAATCCTAGATCTTGGTAGTTTTTCTAGGAGTACTTTTAAGAGAGTACTTTTGCCTCAAACTCATTCAAATGTCAATTTAGGTATCAAAAAGCAAATTCCGCTCAGTCACATTTTAGTTATGTTGGTATCAGTTAAGGCAGGGCTACTCAACACTCGGCCTGTGGGCCACAGGTGGCCGATGGCCCGTTTGTTTTGTGGCCCATGGTGCGGTTTGGGTTTATGCAGGGCTCAACCTGTGGCCTGTGGGTAGGATCCTTTGAACATGACCTCCACTGGGAACATGCTCCATAACGGTGAGGCATCTCCCAGGTGGGGGAAGCATTGAAAGATGCAAGCAGACAGGCTGGCTGGAACAGATGGGTACAGTGTGTCGTCATTTCTAGCCCCCAGGGAGGAGGTGCCGGGAGCGCTGGGACATTGTGGGAAATGCTTTGTATTCATGCCTATCAGAGTGAAAGAAGGTATTTGCATATATTTGCATATATATTTGCATGTATATGCAGCCACATTTAAGTTGCAGCCCTTGGCATGTGCTGTGAGTATCATTGTGGCCTCCATGGCTTCCAAAGTCAGGAAGCCCTGAGTTAAAGAATAAAATTATCCCTCACATCTTTTCTTTCTCATTGGTTGTTTCCATTTACTTATTCCCTCATGGATTTCCCAACAAGTATCAAAGCACTTTACATTGGGAGGCGATCTTCTCCCTTAGATGAGGGTCTAACTTTATGAAGCTGTGACTTTGTGTGTTGGGATATTACATGCATTGGTGGAGGTGGGAAATTTGAGTAGAAAACTGAGAGGTGTATTGTGCCCTTGAGCATCTTGCATAGTGTCTATTAATGTTAGTGGGAATTACAGTATATAGACAGATTGAGGAGAGAATAGACTCTTTCCATCTGAAATGTATTCTTTCCTTTGTGATGAAGAGAAAATGAGCAGTCAGGTGGAAGTCTGCAGTGGTATCAAAAAACACTGATAATCTTTAAACTAGAGGTTGGCTAAACAAAAGTAGAAAATAGAACTATTGTTAGTTATAAACAAAGATTTATGCCTATGTGTCTAGTAAATACTAATTTAGAACAAATTTCAATAAAAAGAATAGGCCCAGCTGTGCAGTCAGATGCATTTTAATTACATATTGTAAAACAAAGATTAAAGACTGAGTATACATTTTCTGCATGTTTGTTCTACATAAATGTCATTGCATTGGGAAATCATTTGTATCCGCAGGTTTTTTCACAATTATTCTTGTAAAATTAGAAGTCAACCCTGTAAGGTTTGTCTACATTGCAGCTGGCAAGTGTGATTCCCAGTGCTAGTTCAGCTTGAGATAACATGCTCAAAAAAAGGAGTGTGGTCACTGCAGCATGGATTCCTTTGGCTAATCTGTTCCTGCTAACCTTTCATTTTTGTTCTCAGGCCTCACCTCATAATTTAGCTCAAATTATAATATGAGTATAGCTTAATCTGTAATTTAACAAAAGCACTCTGAATTAAAATATCTAACCATAACAAGTGTTACCTGGCTTTTACATTGTATCTCTTTTCACTCTCTTGTATTGTGCCTGTGTTAAGCAAATGCTTATTTGGGGGAGGAAAAAAGAAACACTCCTCCCCCCCCACAAAAAATCCAAACAAGACAAACAATAAAACAAAGAAAATGTACACCAGTGCTGCAGCATAAATAATTTCTGCTCAACTCTCCCTGTTAACTTAATGAAAAACTACCTCAGTGTTAGCAGAAGTGAAGTCCTATTGGATTTAATTAAAAATATTAGATTCCTGTTGCTCCTTGAAGTTCATTAACATTCCTGTTGAATTGTAGTTGGGGGATTTATCC